GCCACTCAAAACGACGGCGTTTCTCTAATCGCCGATAAGTTTTCATATGATCTTGTGGAAACTGATGTTGAGATCATCACCTCTGGTCGCCGTCGTATTCCGGCACACTCCGGCATCCTCGTAAGTTTCTTTTTTCTCTTATATATCCGATGAGCTTCGTACTTTCTTTGAATGATCGAACATTTTTATTTTGGTGCTTATTTTTTGTTTGTTTAAAAATTGTTAAATGCAGGCTTCGGGGTCACCGGTACTAACAAACATCATCGAGAAGCCGAGGAAAATTCACGGCCGATCATCAAAGAGAGTTATTAAGATTCTCGGTGTTCCATGCGACGCCGTTTCAGTCTTCGTCAGATTCCTCTATTCTCCGAGGTTCGTCTTTCTCTTTGTTTTCCTATCTTCTTCATCGTCAGATTTTTGTTTTAAATCCGTAGGATTTATTACTTCAAAAATACAAATCATGTTAAATACATCATCTTAAAGATCTTTACCAAACTGGACTTTTCCAACGTTTTAGTCATAAATTAAAATGATCACCACAACCAGATTGCGATTGATTTAGACTTGTCTCATATTTAAAAACGTGTGAAACACAACACAAGGAACACGAAGCAACTACCAACATCAAATTTGAATAAATCAACGGCAGATTTTACCCTAAAGAAATTTAGGATTAGTATATAAAATGACTAAAATACCCCTATATGTGTCTTTGTTTAGTCTCACGGAGAAAGAGATGGAAAAATACGGAATCCATCTACTAGCTTTATCACATGTGTATATGGTGACTCAGTTAAAGCAACGGTGCACAAAAGGCGTCGGTGAAAGAGTAACCGCCGAAAACGTCGTCGATATTCTCCAGCTGGCTCGTCTCTGTGACGCACCTGACCTCTGTCTCAAGTGTATGCGTTTCATTCATTACAAGTTCAAGACCGTTGAACAGACCGAAGGATGGAAGTTTCTTCAAGAACACGATCCTTTTCTTGAACTTGACATTCTCCAATTCATCGACGAGGCTGAATCGGTAATTTACTCAAAACACCTTCTTTTTTTTGGGTTCTTCAAGAAAACTCTGTTTTAGTGTTTTATTGTTTGGTCCTCACGGTACTAATCATTTTTTGGATGAATTTCTTGCAGAGGAAGAAAAGAAGAAGGAGACACAGACGAGAACAGAATCTGTATATGCAATTGAGTGAGGCCATGGAATGTATCGAACACATATGCACCGAAGGCTGCACACTGGTCGGACCGTCGTCTAACTTAGACGACAAGTCAACATCTCAAGTAAAAACCGGTCCATGCAGTGCGTTTTCGACTTGTTACGGACTCCAACTTCTGATACGTCACTTTGCGGTATGCAAGAAACGAGTCGATGGCAAAGGTTGTGTCCGTTGCAAGAGAATGATTCAACTCCTTAGACTCCATTCTTCGATCTGCGACCAATCTGAATCTTGCCGTGTCCCCCTTTGCAGGTTAAAAACCGACATTTTAGAATCATCAAAACCACATTTAAAATGTTTCTAATGATAAAAGTTTTTCACTTTTCGATAGTAGATCTCATTTGATTTTTTTTTTTTAACTTTCGGCGCCAATAATTACATCTTTTGTGGTGGTAGCCTACTTATTAGATGATGAGTCGTGATCGGACGGCTGGAAATATTTTGTTAGGTTGAATTATTAAAAGATATTTAAAAAAATGAGAATCTGATTTCGTTGTCAACTCTTTTTTTTGGTGATTGGAGTAGGCAATATAAGAGTAGAGGCGAAAAGGACAAGAAAATGGTTGAGGACACAAAGTGGAAGGTCCTGGTGAGAAGAGTTGCGTCTGCGAGAGCCATGTCTTCGTTGTCTCAAACAAAGAAGAAAAAAAGTGAAGTGTTATTAAAAGAAGAAGCAGAAGATTTCATCAGAATCCGGAACAAATTAAGATGAATATTCAAAATATGTGTTTTTATTAGATTATATAGTGAGTGTTTGTTAGAAGCCATTACTAGAGTCGGAAGTTTTATTGTTTGTGATTTGTCTCTCGGACCGGTTGATTGGGTTAAATTTGTCGAAGAGTAACCCTTTTAATCTGTCGATTTGTTTGGTCGGTCGAATTATATATAAAAGTGTTATTGATTATAAAATGGTATTAGGTTTTTGCAGACTTTGTGGTAAAAAGTATACAGATTGATCCGGTTAAAACTCGCTAACATAAAAACTCAAAAAGGATTATTGAATCCAAATAATTTCAGTTTTGACAAGATGGAAACAAATTCTCTTTGTCGTTTGATTGGTCATGCCAAATTATATGACTAGACCTGATTGCATATGAATCACAAAAAATCTAAATGAGATTCAAGTTGGATCGGTGTCTAATCAATCACAATAGTTTCAACTATGCATGATACAATTTTGGATGGAAATAATAGAAATTCAATACTATTGGAGATCAAAATTGACCAACCGGTCTCAGTCACTGGTATAGTGGAAGGTTGATCATGATTGAGGATTCAAAAGCAAACAAGGCAAATTATTAGAAAAAAACATGTGCTTATAAGTTAAACACAGATATTTTATTAAATTATTCATTTCATTCTTGGGTTCGAGTGGAAAAGGGAAAGACGCGTGGGGAACAGATGAACCACGCAATGTGGTTTCGTGTTGGATGTCTTTACTCTTACATTTCAATTCATACTTCTTAACTACCAGGTGAATGCACTTAATTATAAAAAACAAATCAATGATCTTTTCTTTTTAAAATGGAAATGAACATTTTCATGTTATAACAATAGTTTTGACATACAAAGGTTAAACAAATCGAGCAAGTTTATTAACTAAAGTTTTCTCTAGATTCTATTTCAGTAACAGCCTTAAACTGATAACATCATACATCAATCAAGGCTTTAATACATCGTAATTATAGATGTTTTAGAAAGAAAAAAAAAATAAGATGACAATTCCATGTGCTAAGTGACAACCCGTCAAGCTTTCGAGTAGTGGAGCAATGCAGCCACCGATGTTTAAATAGTAACGACAACAATGATTCTTATCATGACGATATAAGGGCCTAAAGATTCAACCACGTATGAATTAAAGAGAAAACTAAACAAAAATAAAAGAAATGTTTTCACGAACGACAAAAATGTTTCTTATCTTGTGACTAGAAGTGACTAAAGAGATTCAACCACGTATGAATTATAGAAAAAAAAAACTAAACAAAAAAAAATGAAACTAATCTGATTTAAAATCATTTTGTATGACATTTGAGTTGTTTGTTAATATCTGATTTATAAACATTAATTGCATTGATGACATTCTCGTTTGTCATGAGAGTTACATTTTAAAACACATGAAACTTAAATATTTGATACGTTTCTTATTGACTTAAAACAAAACTCATATATTTCTATCTCTAACCCTATATATTTCAACTTTCTTCCTATTCCTAAACTATCCACGCAGAAGAAACGTATAAAAGGTAGGATCAGAAATAAAAATGGATATCAGTTCCAAAGTTATGGTTTCTTTTATCTTCGTTATAGCCTTATGTGCTGCTGTTTTGATCACACCGGGAGTAGCTCAAACGCAACCAACATATCCGAGTATATTCCCATTGATCCGATAAAAATGTTGGTCATCTCTCTTCAATATTCAAGGAGGTGATGGAAGATGTTCCCATCGAATCCGTCGTTCCATCACCTCCTTAAGGAGAGCTGTGCGTGCATTGTGCCTAATTCTCCCGGACACAATTGAAGATGAGAATGAAGTTTCTAACTGCTTCAGTTTAGGTGTTAGCATTGAAGTCTACTATATTTATCTCTTGAGTTTTTTTGTTGTTGTTGTTAGTACTTAGTACCAGTAAAGGGAGACTTATAGGAACTGTCAAGTTGTTTTCGTTTGACATCTTAAATTCAACTCAGATATGCAATGCAAAAGAAAAGAAAAAACAGCGTAATAGGGTTTAAATGTTGATAGACATGAATCACTAACGTCGTCAGACAAACATGAACCAATCATATAAATCCTTTAAGCTACATAAACTCCATCATCTTGGACCGAAAAGAGGAAAATGCTCTGTTTCATTGAGAAAGAACAGATATGATCCAAAAGTAATGAACAGTCCCTAGTAGATTCAAGACCATAACCCATTATTCTCTAAGGTTACAGCCTTGGCAACAAACAAGAATGCAATTAAATTTCAGAGTTGGAACAACAAAGCTATTGAAGCAGGGAAGGAAGAGAACAAAATCTCTTAAAACTAGAATTCAAACTTGGAAAAGGTTAATGTCATTCTTCTGATCAAGATTACTACAAGTAGCAAGTGCAAGTCTTTGAATGCCAACACAGAGAGATTACTATGACTCACACTAGCTATGTCTGCAAATTCTGCATTTTTGAGTTTTGAAAAAGTTTAAACCCATTTCTAGCTTTACAACTAAAGTAGAATATCGGTATCCCCTTATCTAACTCAAGGCATACAAGTTGGTAGAAAAGTCGAAAATCCATCAGATTTTTTCACCAGTTTAGTGAACATACAATCTGAAGATACCAACCATTATCATCAGCCGCAATAAACATTGACTTTCTAAAAACGATGGTGAATCCCAACCTGGATGACAATGGGACTTTAGCCTAAGGTTCCATGTGATTTCAGAGTACGCCAGTTAGAGCTTAAAGAAGTAATCTCACTGCAACACTGAGCTCTAGAATCAAACCGGGTTAACTATCCTTACCGGGTCTCCAAGCAAATGACTCATGAAGAGTACACACTCATATCGTTTCTACAATCACTAACATCAAAGCTTATGAATTGATGAAGATATGAAGAAAATCATGCCGGCACAGTGCAATGTAGGAAAAACACAAACTTGGAACATCCAACTAGCAAGAAAACTCAAGACAATTAATGCCAAATCTTGTGTCTCCAAATCTCAGCACTTAAAAATGCAAATGGGCAAATCCTAAAGAATTCAAACAGTTGAATTAGTAACAAACACATATAACACTGCACCATGTGATGTGAATTGCGCAAAAGTTTTATTAGAAATGTGTTGGCAGAACAAACGATGAACACAGACTAATGACAATGCAATGGAATATAGAAACTTTTTGTTCTAATTCAAGAAAAAGGTTCATCCTTTGAATCTCAGTCATTCAGAAGATATAAAAGGAGCAAACTTCTCACCGGAATAGTAAAAAAAATGGATAAAGCAGCAGCAAATTCTACGACTTGCGACCAAGCTGTTTCCTGAGTTTCCTATACTTGTGCTTGTTCATCTTCTTCTTCCTCTTCTTCTTCACACTATCAGCGTAAATCACGTTCTCCTTCGCATCCTCTTCCTCCTCCAACGACGCTGTTTCAGCTAGATCCAGACCTTGAATCATTTTGGGATTCAAGCATAACCCCATGGAGAAACTAGGGTAAAACTGCATAGGTTGATTGAATTCATTCCCGGAGAGTGTAATCACGGGATTAGCAAAAGAAACTGGATCGGGTTTCTGAATAATAGATTCGATGTTGTTGTTGTTGATGAAGGGCTTCTGGTATGTGAAGAGAGACGGAGTAGTAGTAAGCCTTTGGATTGAATTGAAGCAAGACTTGTTGTTCTTGAAGAATCTATGCATTAGATTCGCCATTGCAGAGATCAAAACCCTCAGAAACCAAAATCTCGTCAAACACACGAGTGACGACGGGTGAAGATGACGACGTCAGGTTTTGAAACCTATTAAACGTCGTCGTTTCTCAATGTGACGGACTGACGGGAAAATCGGGAAAAAAAAAAACAAAAAAGTGCCCACACGCAGGATCGAACTACGGACCTTCAGTTTACAAGACTGACGCTCTACCACTGAGCTATACGGGCTACTTGCTACTTTTGTCTCGTTTAATTTATAGATAGTCAAATTACTAAACGAACCGTATAAAAAGGAAAACCAAACACATCAATTTTTGTTTATAAACGGTTTAGGTTTTACTGTAAAAACCCAAAATCATTTAACCAAAATTTATTGAAAGTATAGACAAAACTTTAAAATTAGTGGATCCAATTGGTAACACAAAATGGTGAGAGTTGTTAAGCAGTAAAAACAAGCACTAAACAATTGATTAAGGTTACAGAACAGCTAATATATACTAATACTAATCAAAACACTACATATAATGTATTTGAAAGTTAGTTTTTTTGCCTGAAACCAAACAAAATTATATCGTATCGATCTTAAAACTAACTCAAAAAACAGAACATTTGGTAGACATAGGTATCAAAACATAACAACACATGAACTCAATGTCAACGAACAACTAATTTGTTTGCAGAACTCTTCCAAAGAACTTGAGAATCAATAACAGAGAGATGCTTATCATCAAGCCTCTTCCATGTCTTAATCGATTTCACATCTCCCCAATTTCCTTTTCTCTTCTTATTCAAATCAACAACCACAACTCTTGCTCTTCTCGCCCATCCAGCTTTACCATAAGCATGGTACCCAAATCCACCACCATAGCATAGATTCAAACCTTTGAGTTCACCGCAGAAATCATTGACATGGTCGTGACCCACAAACACAGATTTCACATCTCCTCTAGCTACCAATGTTGTGAAGAAACCCGAGTTTGTAGAAGCCGCGGATGTACCTTCTTGTCTCACTCCTTTGGTAGCATTCTTTGAGTCGAAACTCCAAAACTCTGGTAATGGAATGTGGAAGTAAGCTAGTCCTGGAGCTATACCTTCTTGAGGATTAGGCTTTGCCTTGTACTCCCTCTGAAATATCATCAAAACCAGAGTCAAAACAACAATGTCAAGATCAAAAACCAAGATTGAACATCATTGATGTGCCTGCAGACGTTTTGAAGTGCGGTCAAACCAAAATTGCTGAGAAGTTTTGATCCAATCATAACCTTCCATGTAAGGAACACTAGAGTAATCTCCACTATCGAGAAAATAAAGATTAAGAACAGATTTGTTCTGTAGTTTAGAATCAGCAGCTCCATGGATTTGGAGATTGTAATTACCAAACCCATCAATGTAATGAGCAGCTTCAGGAGGATTCACTTGAGATAAAGTGTTGGGAAGCTTCACAATGTGATTCATGACTTGTTGTCGTGTAAATGTAGATTCTTGATCATGGTTTCCCAAAATAGCAACCCATGGGATTTTAGACGCAATCGCCGGAGCAAACGCAGCGTTTAGAGATTTCACAGCGTCTTTAACATCGAACCCAAATATGTTATCACCTAATTCGAAATTTCAAAATTAGGGTTTATATTAAAACCTGAAAGTTCAGATTTTTTCAGATAGAGAGAAGAAAGTTAGGGTTTTGTTCAATTAGGGGGTTTTACCGGTGAAGACGATGAGATCAGGCTTCTCGGCGGCGATGACTCGAGACATGAAGATGGTGGTGTTGAGGTCGGAGCAGTGAGCTTTCTGGTTAGGCAGAACATTTTGACACCGGGTCGTAGCGCCGTTAGCAAAATGCATATCCGCCACTTGTAGTATTTTGAACTCGCCGTTCACACCGAACCTTAGTTTCCGACGATGAGCCGCCACCGGAACCGGAGCTAAACAGAGACATGCGAGGAACGCGGATAAAAGGAATAGGCTTCTTCTTCTTCGATTGTCCGCCATTGTGTATGTGACAGAGGAAAAACGATAAGTGGATTTGTCCTAGTGTTAGTGATGAGACATGAGGCTGTGAGCAAGTGTGTAGAAAGAAGCCAAAGAAAACAAAACTTTGACATGGAAGCTTTTAAATTTTGGTTTTTTTTTTTTTTTTTTATTAAAGAGGTTTTTTTTTTAATCAGCTAGTTAAATATTTTGGCGTGATTATAATAATCAGGATTTATGACACACAACTACCAATTACCAACCATATTTTTTCTTTGAACTCACATGCAAACTCATAATGGCAATTACATTTAAGGTTTATCAGTCTCCTCATGAGACCTATAGTGATTAATTAATTGGTCCAAAAATATAGTTGGGGACTCAAATTCTTTGTTTTCGTTTATAAGCACTTATGGGGCTTACTGCTTAGTTGCGGTTGCGGACGTAAAGAAAATTTCCGATTAATCAATAGAAACAAAGCAACCCTTCAGAATAATTAGTTCTACGATACATTACATGAGAAAATACATACGTAAGTGATTAAAACATCGAATACCAACTTGAACAACATTAAATTTAATACGATATATAATAAGATTAAACATGAAATGGATCGGACCAGGAATGCTTATTCCCCATTTAGCGTCATCAGTGGAATCGAGGCCTCAAGTTGACTTAGCCAGGACAATAGCTTCCAATTCCATCATCATCATCATCAACAACAACAACAAAAATCTCATCGCGATAAACCATGATTAAGAACACCAGTTTCTGGTGAAGAACTGAAGTAAGAAACATGGCTTGTATAATTTCAAATGTAGATCGATATCAAGCTATATATATATATATATATATATATATATTGCATTGTAGATAGATACACAAATTCAGAGACTTGTATACATATGTGTGTGTGAGAGTCTTATAAAGAGAGGTTATATGTCGTTGTATTGAGAAGCAAAGCCGTATTGTTATATTCCCGCATGCAAAGTTTCTTTCTCACAGGAAATGGGTGTGGGAAAAAAAAAGTTATAAAGAGTTAGCCTTTTAAAAAGAGTGTTTGGCCTTTTTAAAATAACAATGTGATGCTTTTTCATTTCACCCCAAGTTTTTTTACGCAATGTACAGCCTTTTACAACTATTCACACCAAAAAAATTTGCAAAATTGATAGTCAATATTTTATCTATAATTGGCTTCCTTGGGGTTAGAGACTAGTGTATATAAACAGCAATGACATGCAAGTTGTTAAATAGTGGAATGAAACATAACAAACATTACAATTAAGTATGTTCATTAGGATAACTGATGCGTGAAATATAAGAAAATTATTAGAGTTGATTAATTGTTTGAAGTTCTTCAATGTCCTTTAACATGAACAAATATGTATAATGGAGTTTACACTACAAGAAATATCTACATTATTAGCAAGAGAGAAGAGCTATTATATGTCATCAATAGCGTTTTCATAAACGCTGTCTTATGCCCCTGTTATTGTAGACCCCCCACATACGATAACGTTTTTGTCGTATGCTATGATAGAGTATTCTACCATAGCATTAGTAAAAAGCTTTGATATATCGACTTATAATGGCAATGTATATAGGTTATGATATATTGTTTTTACAATGCTATAATATTCAGTGTTATGACTCTTATTTTATGCAGTTGTTTTAAGCTATTTAATATATATATATATAAACATCCAAAAGATATAACATCATTTCATAAACCAAACATCAATTCATACAACGTAAGTCTCAATCCAATAGTTAAACTAATATCCACACTTCTATATACTACTTTAGCACTACTCTTCACAACAAGAATACTAATCATAAGGGTTTGAACATACCATCCAAGTTATATCAAACCAAGTCTTAGACTAACTATACAACTAGGAATCATGTTCTTCACTCCTAACAAGTTCTTCAAGCTTCTTGAATAGCCTGAATGACATTCTTCTTCACTCCCAACATGCTCTTCAATCTCGAATAGCCCGAATGACACTATAAGCTCCTGCAACGTTAGTACAAGAAGAAGAACCTTACCATTCAATTCAAAAAAATATGCTATCTACAGTTTTGTGAAACTGAGACAAAACTCCACTTTAGAATACTAAGGCATGTCCTGCAGCTTTTGTTGAAACATATCCTCCTAAAGCTAGAGCAAGCTCAACACAAACATGGGCATAAGCAACATTCTCAAAGTAAATGAAATCATAGAGATTATTCCCATCATGTATAATAAATTGGACATTAAAGAAGCAACAAACAGTCGTACCTTGTGCTCAAAACAAAGTCAAAATTTTCACTATGAGTGAGTAATTTTATATTGCTATCAGCAACCAACTCCACCAGCTGGGAGTTTTCTTCAAGTTTAAGTCTGCTAGCAACTGTATCTAGACAGAACAACAATAATAAAGATTATTTACACATTCACCATTACCAAAAACAAATAGCAGTAGCAGCATTATAGCCTCACGAAATCACACCAAGCACAAGATGACGCTCCAATTAAAGAAAGAGAGAAATGTTAGTCATAACCATCACCAACATTTCAAGATACTGATGATAGAGTCAGTTGATTCACATACCTTTCCTTCAATGATATCACATACTCTTCTTGCCCATTAGAATCGTCATCATTCTCAATGAACATTACGATTCAGAAGACTCGAGCATGGTAAATTAGAAAATCTCACCTGGTCATGATAAAACTCTTTTTGCCCGTTAGACTCGTCATCATTCTCAACCCCATCAATTATAAGAAGATATATCTTAGATGAATCAATCACCTACGGGAAATGTTATCAAAACAAAAGCGTCGAAGCAATAAAATTATCAATTACATTTATATTCCATTCTAAACTAATAACTTACTTGAGTTTGCTTGATGCGAACAAGCAGCTTCTTGCTTTGGCGACAATCTTTGATACATCTACCATCACTCGCTTCTTCACTCGTCATCACCGTTTTAGCACCTTCAAGTCTCTTCACCATCAC